TAAAATAAATTATGAAAATCCTCATGAACTTAGGCTAAATTACAGAAAACACCCCCACTTATCGGTGATTACCAAAATCTCCCTGATGTTTGTTTCTGTCTTACACGACCCCTTATGGTGTGATTTTTTTACGTAATCTTTTTTATTCTATGTAATGTCTCAAAAAATATGGAGTCTACCCTTACAGACGTGACATTTCTTTTATCGTACTTTATAAACTCAAAAATTAATCTCAGGGGGGGTCATGGTAATAATAAAAATTTGTGAAAGTGTTATTTAAGAAGAATAAAGATTTCGTGTAAAGTTCACATGAGGGTAATTTTTGTTTTTAAAAAGTATCATAAAGAAATGTCGTGTGTGCATGGTATAATAAGCATTATTGGACCACGTAATAAAAAAATTCCTTGACAAATCATACCATAAGGGGGTCGATGTAAGACGGAAACAAACATTAGGGGAATTATTAATATAAACTATTTATGGCAAGAGCACTTCGAGTGGGATTATTAAAGGAGCTATCAAAATATTTAACCACCATTTTTATACTCCAAAATAGTAATTTTTAATTCTAATAGAGTTATGAAATGAGGTATTTTGATACTTCATCTTTCAGAATGTAAAAATACATTATGCAATCATGCAAAATAAAATATCAAACATGAGTTATGAATTTAATCACATCAGTGTCCATTTAGAAAATAACATGTGGCAATAAAATATATTTAATTAACAACTATTTAATAACTATGGTTGGAGCAAATACATTTAGATAAATATCAAAATAAAATATTAAATAGCACATAAATATTTGCAAACTCATTTTGATACTTTTGGGTTGGAGTTGCTGTAAATATTTACTTAATTATATTTATTAGAGTTATAATGAAATACTTATTAGTGGAATACATTATATAGTATATACGACCATTATACATTTTAAACAAAACAATTGATATTCTTAATGTTAGCCATTAAATAAAGTGGATAAACGAATTTAATACCAAAGATTTAGAATTTATTATATTTTGAAATATATAAAATCAATTCGTTTATTTATCAATTGATTAAACTTAACTTAAGTTATTCAATTTATTAGTATAATCATGATAAGATTTGTATTTTAATTAGTATATAATTTAAAAAGTTAAATCAATCGTAAAATTTATTGTTACTGGACTCAGTGAAGAAAAATAATTATTTAAATAATAACATTAAATTCATGTAGTATAATTTTCAATATGGTAAATAATTGGGAGTACATTACTCTACACATGGCATAACAAATAGTGTTTTCGCAAGATAGTAAATTCAAACATGTATCTTTCTTTTTTACAAATAATATTAATATATAATATTAAATTAGTAAAAAATTACATATTCTCTAGTCATGTTCATTTAAAATGTATAATATCAAATAATTTATTCTGCAATATGTTTTGTTAATAAATTCAAGTTTATGAATTAAAATTTAAAAAAATCGTAACACCACCAATTATGCAATTATAATAAGGGAAGATTTTAAATCGAATTTAAATAAATTCAAATTAAATTAATTATAAAATTAAATTAAAAAATAAATTTATTTAGGGTTTCTAAGAAAGTTGATATATTTAGAGCATTTTATAAATGGTAGGATATAAATATATTAATAAAATAATTAAATATATTTAATTACCTTTAATTTTGGAAAATGATGACATGTTTTTTGATGATTTATTTCCACCAATTAATTCGCCACTTGGGATGAAATTAAGGACATGTCATCAATTGAAATTGACAAATGTCAATCAATTAGCTATGCAATTCAACTTTTATATATTATATAGATTCTTTATTTAGCTACCACTTTAATTACAATGTATTTTTCAAGAAACGACAATAATTAGTGCATTTTTTAGAGTAGTATGTGGGCTTCTCTAAGAAAAACACACACATTCACATACTAAGATGCCTTAACATTCTCTAAGCATCACACATTTTATTGCCAATACACAATATTGAAATTTAATTCATTAATGTGAGTTTGAACTTTCTATCATTTTTTTTTGGTAAAGAAACTCGCAATTACCGGTTCAATGTAAGAACGTGCAAATAATACAAGAAACGTAAACATACAGCACTAACCAAAGTTACGTGTTCCGAGCTAGCTCAACATGAAAAAATTGTAATATAAAAATAATTAACGCACAAGGATGTCGCAGTCATAAAATAAGAGGGTATAAATTGAAGTATAATAAGTTTGAACCCACTAACCGCGTTGAAAGTCGTAACTTATAACGATATGAATCTACTTGAAAGACGAATTAGATTACGAAATTTTGGCGAAACTCGGATATTTGAGTTACTAAGAAAAAATATTGCAATATAAAAGACAAAAGGCTCGGGTGGGAATATTGAATAAAAAGTGAAAGTGCAACTTGATGTCGTTTATGAAAGACTTGCTAAGTCTACTTATGTAAATAATAGATACAAATACAATAGTTGCTTTATTTGTGTTAATGAACTATCATATTATCTCAAACCAATTCATATTACATAGTAATTTATTCAGTTTCATTTGATTTTCAACATAGGTTTAGATGTAATATTCACCTTATATCCAACGATTTTACGTTGAACAAGTCAGTATCTTTTTCCCCCTCAAAATGCAAAGATTTTGGCATCGGTTGGTTGTTAAAATGAAATTTCAAATTAGTCAATTAAATGTCACGCAGTTTTATTTTGATTTAATTACTAACCCATCGTTCTCAAAAAAAAAATAATAATAATAATAATAACAATAAATAGGGTAAATTACAATCATGTCCCTAAAATAATGTCAAATTATTAAAAAAGAAATAAAAAAATCTTATGTTTGGGTAATTACAACTACTCCTCAACAATGAATCTATTTACATGTCCACCCTTATGGTATCAAATTCAACATAATCTTCAACATTCTGTATAATGTTCTCTAGTTTGTACTCGTTTCGTGCAAAAATGCAATTTCTGATGCATGAGCAGTGGCGGAGCCAAGATTTGCTGTGAGGGTGGGCTAAAATTTTACGGGGTTCGGAGATAGAGCCTCGAATTTTTTTAAGAGTTTTTTTAAAAAATATAGAGCAAAATAAATAGAAATTTGTATATTTTAATTAAATTATATATATATATATTAAATTGTATATTGTCCAAAATATAATTATTAGAGCTCTTTAAACTATATTACAAATCTATTGGGTGGCCTAATTAAAATAGATTAGGATTAATATAGTGTATAAAAATAATAACTAAACATAATTAGCATTAAAATATTCTATAAAAAAAAAATCAGGGTGGGCTTCAGCCCACCCACCCTTCAACGTGGCTCCGCCACTGTGCATGAGAATCTGATATATACAAGTCAAAAAACACATCGTATGATCATCTTGCTTTAAAATGTGGAGCTCGAATGGAATAAAACGAGTACAAACTTGAGAATATTCCATATAATCTGGAATATTTCACTAAATTTGACACCGCAAAGATGGACATGTAAGAAGATTCATAGTTGGGAGGAGTGGTTGTAATTACCCAAACATGAGGGGTTTCGTAATTTAGTAAGGGGTGACTGTAATTAACCGTAATAAATAAATTAAATTGTACTAACCCGGCATCACGCTACAAATGCCTATTTAACTGATATGTTATTTTAAATGGGCTACGTTGAAAGATGGCCCAAATTGATAATTTGCTGTATCCGGTCCATTTGTAATGTAAGTACTTAGAAAGTTATGATTATGGATCATAATCTTGTACTCCATGTTCCCCGATTCAATTAGGATTAGTCAATTGACCCAGACTCGAATCATTTGGCAATGGTTATTAGATCGAACTTGTCACACATGGTTACTCTAGTGTGGTTTACGTCTCTCGTATTCGCCAATCACACGAGAATTAGTAGGATGAATTAAAATCGACTGCTTACTTCACCAACTAGATCACTCTTACGTGTTGACATAAGGATATATATTCACTCGAAGTGCACCGAATAAATTCCGCCCTCGTATAGTAACTCGTGCCTGTTTGACTATACCCTTACTTCTATACAAAGTCAAGGACTGCCTAATCATATATTTTTTTAAAACTAATATGTTATTGTATTTTCATGGTTGATGAATCAAAAGTCATGATGTTAGTTACATTGTTTATATCATCACCATAATAAAAAAAAAAAAAAAAAAAAACTCCATTTAATTTTGAGGTAATTTAATTACAGACAAAGTAATACTGCATATTTTTAAAAGAATCAAATTATATGTAGTTAGTGGATTTCTTGGGCCCATTGGTTCCTCTCTCCCCTTTTCATCTCTCCCACTCTGCTATATATTGCATACGCGTCACCTCAACACACACACAGTCTCTCTCTCCCTTTCTCACACATATTATATATATATATATATATATGTGTGTGTGTATATACACAAAAGCAGACACACTCCACAAACACGTTACCATTATTTGTATATATAGATAGAGAAAGAGAAAGATCTAGAGAGAGAAGATTGTGTGTGTTTGTATGTTTAGCTCACTAGAAGAATTAGCACCAACAAAACCACTTCTCTCTTTGCCCTTTCTATCTAACACATTTCCAATCAGAAAAAAAAAAATTAACAAATTAAAAAAAATACCCCCAAATATTCATCATAATATACTTGCAAATTAAAAGAAATTAAAACAAAAAATTCAGTTTCAGTGTGTGTTACTTTCTTTCTTCGGTCCCCTCTCGCCTTCCTCCTCTTTCATCTGCACTCAGAGATTGTCTCTTTCTCTCTCTACATCCATCCATCCCATTGTTTTTTTTTTTATTTTTTTATTTTTTTATTTTATTTCTTCAACACCTCCGCGTTTGCATGTCGTTTTACATAGATTCTTGACGCGTTTCGTTTCTAGCTCTCATTTGTTCTCCACTCCTTTTTTATGTTCAATATTATTCAAACACAACTTATATATATATATATATAATTACTATCAATTTTAATTTTAATTTATATTTATATTTATATTTATATGTGTGTGTGTAATTTAATAATGGGAGTAGTTTATTCTCCGTTTCTCAACCTAACCCCATTGAGCAAGTCCTCCTCATGATGGCAGGAAATTTAACAAATTGAAATTCGAAAAAAACAGCTCACCATTTTTACTTTGATTTTTTTTTTGGGGGTTAATTCAATGAGGGGGAAAGGGAAGCATGAGCGGCGGTGGGGCTCCGACTCGGGGAATTCAGCCAGCGGAGGATCCTCGCCGCGGACGGAATATTCCTGCGATTCGGCGGCGGACGCGTCGGAGTTCGTGGAGGTCACGCTCGATCTCCAGGACGACGACACCATCATCCTGCGCAGCGTCGAGCCGGCCACGGTCATCAGCATCGACGGCAATGACGTCATTTCCGGATTCGCCGGCGTCGAGGCTCCGAATCCGGCGTCGGCTTCCACTTCCCGATCGCCGACCATGCGCCGGAGCGCTTCCAATAGGCTGCTCCAATTTTCTCAGGAGCTGAAGGCGGAGGCGCGTGCTAAGGCGAAGCAGTTCTCCCAGGAGCTGAGAAGGTTTTCGTGGAGCCACGGGCACGCGTCGCGGATACTCTCCGGCATCGGCGTCGGCGTCGCCGCCGGCGTCGGCGGAGGCGGAGGCACCGGCGGCTTGGATTCGGCGCTGGCGGCGAGGGCGATGCGCCGGCAGCGGGCGCAACTAGATCGCTGCCGCTCCGGCGCTCAGAAAGCTCTCCGGGGTTTGAAATTCATCAGCAACACTAAAAACAACCGCGTCGATGCCTGGAACGAAGTCGAGAGAAACTTCGAGAAGCTCGCCAAAGACGGTTACCTGTACAGCACCGATTTCGCCCAATGCATAGGTTAGTGATTTAATCCCAATTTCAAAACAATTATTCTCTTAATTAACGAGCTAATTACACTCTTAATTACAGTTTTAAAATCTCTAATGATTTCTATGATTTCCCCCCCTTTTTTTCTTCTTATTCCACAGGGATGAAAGATTCGAAGGAATTTGCATTAGAATTGTTCGATGCATTAGGCAGACGACGAAGATTGAAAGTTGACAAGATCAGCAGAGATGAACTCTACGAATTTTGGTCCCAAATTACCGATCAAAGTTTCGATTCCAGGCTCCAGATTTTCTTCGACATGTACGTTCGCTTTCTTAATTAATTTTTAATTAATCATAGTTAAAGTTCATAAGTAAGCTACTTAATTAATAAGTAATTAAGCTACAGTACAAAGTGCAAATGTCAATCAGCTTTTTTGAGGCCACCAGTCAAAAAGAGAAGAAGTTGATATAGTTAACGCTGATTACTACATAATCGTGTTAGATTATCAAAAGTTTTAATTAATTTGTTAATGATGATTTTGATGCAGGGTAGACAAAAATGAAGATGGTCGAATCACCGAAGAGGAGGTTAAGGAGGTAACGCAACTTCTTTCTGACTTTGTATATATATATATATAAATCATTTTTATAATAAAGTATTAAAAGTAGTGAGTGGGTAATGATTTCTAATCAAGGATTAAAAAAATGAATTTATTGATGATTATGAGGTAAAGCACAGTCTGTCATATTGCGGTGGCATAAAGAAAATTTGTAACGGTGAAAAAGAAATAGTATTATTATATTATATAACTTTTCTTTTGTTATATGTAAATATTTAACAATAATATTAATTCCTCATGCAGTTTGAAGATTTAGTGGGATTTTGTACAATGGGGCCTTCATTTCTTTAATCTTTTCTAGGCTCGATTTATTTATGAGATGCTACGCTGGGTGAAATGCAATTATCGTATAAAATTTGAAAACGAAAATATTGCTATAAATAATATATAGTCATTTTTACACGTATAGTATGAATATATCTTGTTGGTGTACCTAGTAATATTTTAATGGTTGAGATTGTGAAAGCTACGTTTCAAATTGAACTCACTAAAGATCAAGTCAGTCAGATGGGGTTGGTGGGGGTAAATTTGTAATTATGTATGTATAAATTGAGTCATAATAATTGTTCAATTTATCAATTTTACCTTTCTTTTATTCACTGTTCTAAGTCTAATTAATTGTTTCATTGTTTGTTATGTAGATTATTATGGTAAGTGCCTCTGCAAACAAATTGTCGAGATTAAAAGAGCAGGCGGAGGAGTACGCGGCTCTGATCATGGAAGAGTTAGACCCCGAAAGGCTTGGATACATTGAGGTAAATTTCCGGACTCTCCTAAATGCTACACCTGATAAATTAATTCACGTCGTTTTCCAAGTTTAATTTACTAAAATTTATTTAATTTAACCAATCCAGATAAGCATTTTGCTGCATTAAATGACATTATTATTATTATTATTTAAGGTTAGATGTTGCCTTGCAAGTTACAAAATCATCGAGTTGCTGGTCAAATTAGCCTTGTACTACTTAGATAAGATATTTTTAGTACCGATTAATTGTACCATTAATTGCTTCTACACCAACCGCAACACATAGTACCGGTGACAGAACCAGCATAGAGCCATAGAGTCGGGGGTCGTGGCCCCCAACATTTTTCAAATCTCTATTAATTTATATAAAAATATAATCTTTTTTTGTGTACAATAGCATTATCGGTCATCTCCTTAGATTTATTTTAATGCATTCGAACCCCTCGAACTTATAATGCTGGCTCCGCTAATGCATAGTACTACTACTAGCGAATTGGGGGAAAAGAAAAGATGGTTACAACTAAAATTATCATGTTGGACTTTAGTTATCAAAAAGTCAGTAGTTAGACGACAAATGACTGACTAAATCGTATTAATATTGGATTACCGTGTCGTTCAACCATACATGTTGAATAAAATACAATACGCTTTAAATATAAAATAGAAATTAAAAAGGAAATCATTTAGTTTAATGTCAATAATAATCCAACCTTCAAACTGGAGAAGTTGAGTTAGGCTTATTAGAAAACTGCCCATTGAAAAAGAAAAAAAATATATTTATCTATATTGTAGTGGACCAGTTTAAAGAAAATGATCAATACAACTGTCGAAATTTATATATATATATATATATATATATATATATATA